CATAACAAATACCACACTCCTCTAACCTATAAGCAAACGCGTAATGAAAGCAAGCTAAAATGCTGCTTTGCCGTCGGGTGCACGCGACTAGGTGATACTCGTTCACATCCAAACGTGATGTTTGTTTCGAATGCGAATGGAAATTTAGGCAATACCTATTGTAGGTAAAAATTATAAAAAACTTCCCATTTTGCAGGCTATGGCAGCTGTTCGATTATGGTGGCCCTCGGAATATACTCTCTTCACTTTGTGAGCGAGTATAATAAGCGCAATAGTACACATAATTTGTATTGGGGTTTCGCCTACCCCCTTGCCACTCCTCTCCAGCAATTGTGTATGTGTATGTAATTTATGTTTTTTTGCTACTTGGCCGCATTTCGCGGTTTTTTATTGCTACGTGTTTGGCGCGGATCACGGCTGGCGGGGCAGCAGGCCGTGCCGTGCTGGCCATAATGTCGTCATGACAGACGCGGCCATAAAAGATAATTATGATTCCGGTAATAGGTTTTATTTTCGCGTGTACCTCCTTTGTTCGTGTGCCCACAACCAGACTCGCGAGCCACGGGCCCGCTCATTGCCAAAAAACTGACGCCATGTTTGTGCCCCTTGTTGTTGTGGCTGCCGCTGGCACAAAGGTCGGCCGCTGCCTCCTCGGCTAACTCCGTCCGTCCAAATGGCTGGCAGTATCTACATTTACTTTTCGGGTGACCAACGTGGCATAGAAATTATGCGCATTATACGCGCCGCGCTTCAGCGCCTTGCTAAAAAATTATATCCGCGGCATAAAAAACTTACTTCGTTATATGCCTTTGATAAATTGCAAGCGGTTTAAGTTGTGTGTGTTATATTTTTAATTAGCACTGCAGGGCCGGGGTGAATGGATGGCGTAGAGGGGGAGCTATGGGGGGACGTTTGCTAAACTCAGTTGAGCAAATCAATGCCGTGTTTGTTTTTGCCTATTCTAATGAAGTTGTCAACCTTATGAAGATTAATGCCGCCTTCACCGTTTCAAATTAGAAAGGAAGAACTTTCGCTTAACAAAGAATAATTGTTGGAACATGATAATTGTCTTAAATGCGAATGCAAATTGAGCGAGTGTCAGGCGAATGTGATTAATGGATGACACCGAAGTGACCCAGTTTCAATTAAACTGGCGAAGGCAGCGAGTTGCTGTGAAAATATCCTTTGAGTATTCATTGGCGAAAATCAAACAGGCGAAAGCGGAAATGACAGCCGTTGACGTCTAATGGAAAACGTGTGCGGGCATAAAAATGGCCGCTAAGAAAATGCATAAAAATTGTGCGAAGGCAAACAGCGCAGACAGGACACACAGAACACACAGAAAACACAGAGCACATGTGCGAAAGGACATGCAAGGACAAACGGAAGTCACATACGCAAACTTCGCTTATCGTCCAAGACACAAAGTTACTTTTGTCCATAAAATATTTTTATACACCAGCTGCAGATTCTTCTACGGGATACACTCGCTGCTGCTCGCCCCAGCTGGGACATACCTACACGTAAAAGAAGAACAGCGTCTCGGGGCTTGGCGCTGGACTTGCGAATGGAAAATTGTTTACACAAGTCATCAGCATTTTTTAGCGAGCCTTGGCCACATTTACTTGGCCGTCTGTTTGCCAGCGTTAAGGCGCTTCGCATTTGCATAAACCTAGCCGGCAAGCCAGGACAAGCAGGACAGCCCATTATGCTTAGAGACAAGCCACCTACACACCCACATATATACGCACAACTTTTGACAACTGCAATAATCATAACTGCAACGCTCGACATTGATTTCTAATGCGAAGATTGTCGCATAAAGATTCACCCGGCCACCGCCAGGCGCCATTAATGGCTTTGTCTTACAAGTCGTTCGTGAAGTGTTCGCATTTCCACTTGATTTGAATTTTCCAACGAGCCCATAAACCAACTCAAGTTTCAACTGCCCCCAAAAAAAAAAACCGTCACTTTAGCGCTTTAGTTTTACGGCAACGAACAGAGCTTCGAGTGGGTCATCAACTGGCTAAGAAAAAAAACTAAAATGCTCAGCAGTGATTGAAATGGATATGCCCTCGAAAAAAGGTGGTGCTGCGCCTACAACCACCATTTTACTGATCTGAAATTATCTGCTCGAAGTGGAACAGGGCCAATTTTTGTGTGTTTAGGTGTACAATGTTTGCACACTGACGGAAAATGGACCCACTTCCATTCAATATCATGTTCAAAAGGGTGTTCCAGAAAGCGATTGCAAAAGTATATCGCCTTGTAAAATTTCAAGCGTTTATTTTAAAAACTTGATCGAGTCTTTCATGAAATATATAGCATTTAAATTAAAAACTTGATCGTATCTATTTGGTAAACAAATAAATTATTTATTTGTCTTTATAAATTACGGAAAAAAGAGAATTAAACGAAATCTCCATTAGTTAAAACATCCTTAATACTCCCAAAACGTTGACATAAGCCTTGATTGGGTCTGCCTTGGAAATTATCAAAATTTATCAATAAAAAATATTCAATATCGGAATTAGATTTACCAGCTTTTTATTATTTTTTAGTTAGTTTTTTAATTATATTTAATTCGTAGGTTTCTTATTATTTAAGTTATACTAAAAATTAAATAATATCCATAAAGTAAACTTTGCCATGGAATGTTAATCTCTTACATGTTTCGCAACTATGCAACAACACGTGAAAACCTATCGTTTCTGGGAACACAGCATATGACGTCTAATCGATGTCTGAGACTAAAATAAATAATCTTTGTGGTTTTTCGCATTTTAGGTTAAACGACATTTTGTACCGTGACATGTTTGCCCGTCGTCGTGGCTGTCCATATCGCAGTTGTTGTCGCTTATTTCGATTCACTTTTTGGACTGCTTGCAGATGATTGATGACACTTAATTGATGAGCATCGGGAGCGGGATTTGAAGTGACTTAGCGTAAACATTTACACTTGGCCCAGACGAAAGACAGGCTTTAAGTGCTGGTGGTCAACAGCTTTCAGCTTAAATCTGGCCAGCTGCGAGATGGCCACCACGAGACATTTTCCAGGTCACAGGTGCTTTTGTTGTCTGCATTAGATTTGCCTCTGACATTTGCCCACACAAATCTCTTTCTGTGTATGTGTGCATTTTGGGCTTTTGTTTGGCAAAAGTCTGCCCATTTGGCTGTAAAATTTATTTCATTTGACCGCCCGCTCGCCCCGTGTGCTGTCCACACTGCCCACTACACGCGTGACGCTGACAGTTTTATGGCAAAGTTAAGCCGATATCAACGGCAGGACACATGCCGCTGCAGGACGACAACCGCTGCTAGCCCCGCCGCCACCGTAAAAGTGCAAAATTTAAAGCCGTTTCTGGTCATACCTTTGCCAACAAATGGGCGGGGCCGTTGCCTTGCTTTGTGTGTGTGCAGCTATTTTGTATACAAAAAGGTTTTTAGGTTTTCCACAAAGCCTTTTAATGAAATCATTCATGGTTAAAGCAGATAACAGATTGTCACATTCCTATCCAGAGGTTGCCCACTTAGAGTGCCCGTAGGCTTTAATGTGGAATAACTTTTAATAAAATATAAGAGAATAATTGGAATTATATACTTTAATTATTCACATATCTTCCGCCGTGAAGCATTACACAATTCTAATCTTAGCACTATTTCCGCTCATCGACGTGGATATTCCGAAAACGGTGAACCGGAGCATGACATTGATCGGCTAGCATGCAAAAAGTTGTATGCAACCGCTTTCCACTAATTTTCCGTTATTAAGAGTAAAGTAGTTTGCAGCTTGGGGTGTGCATTAAACATACATCAGCTGGCAAGTCAATTAGTTAGGACAATATAAATAAACTTATAATGTACGATACGCAATATACATATTCCATTGACTGTGTATGGCGTATCGTACATTAAAAGCTTATTTGTAGCCACGCTCATGTTTCCTTGCAGTCTTAGGTGCAACTAGATATCAATGCGTTCATTTGAGCAAAAGACATGAAACCATTCGTATTGCTCGAGCCTGGTCTGAACGTATTCGCCCAGGACGTAGACATGAATGGGCACAAGCACAGGCTTTGCACCCTCTGTCAATCCCTGGTGGGCAGCAGTGATCTTGATATCGATTAAAATTGTTGCATGTAGCATATAGAGAACGCCACAAGCCAATGAGGCAATCGATTGAAAGAGCAAATAAAAAGCGAACGGATGAACGGGCTTATCCTCCTCGTAGACACCCTCCACGGGCTCCTTGCCAGTATACATCAAGTGAAAGTCGCGTTCCGCATCCCACATAGTTAATATGGATATCATTGTAAATCCAACGGAAGCTAAGCAAGATTTACAGATTTCCATGCAAAATGTCGGATTGTGGCCCGAACAAATGTTAATGCTTTGAAAGAGTGTGATCACCATGAAAACGTAGAAGGTCATTAGATATATATACTGGAAGATTTGCCTATCCCACGTCAACATATGCAAATGAACAGCCATAAATCCCGTTATGTGATATGCCAAACAAAACATATTGAAGATCGTCTCCAGCGTGTAAAATAGAAACGAAATCGGCCGCAATGTAGTTGACGATACGGGCATATTCTGATCTGTGATAATGGTTCCGACCCTGACCATGTCTTTTGTAAAACGGATGATTTAGGAATAATTTCTGGTTAAAACACAAAATTATAATTAAATCTGTTGTTTCAGACGTGACAAATTTTTGAATAAGTCAACTGTCATTCATCAAACAGTTCGAGTACCACAAGCTACTTGTGACTATGGTCAAAAATAACTTTCCCTTTCCCTTCGATACTTAAATTGAATCACCTTTCAGGTAGCATGTGGACTGTTTTACAAAAAAGTTTAAAGTTTTAATAAAATCATTCATGGTTAAAGCAGATAACAGTTTGTCACATTCCTCTCCAGAGGTTGCACACTTGGTGTGCCAGTAGGCTTAAATGTGGAATAACTTTTAATAAAATATAAGAGAATAATTGGAATTATATACTTTAATTGATCACATATCTTCCGCCGTGAAGCATTACACAATTCTAATCTTATCACTATTTCCGCTCATCGACGTGGATATTCCGAAAACGGTGAACCGGAGCATGACACCGATCGGCTAGCATGCAAAAAGTTTTATGCAACCGCTTTCCACTAATTTTCCGTTATTAAGAGTAAAGTAGTTTGCAGCTTGGGGTGTGCATTAAACAAACATCAGCTGGCAAGTCAATTAGTTAGGACAATATAAATAAACTTATAATGTACGATACGCAATATACATATTCCATTGACTGTGTATGGCGTATCGTACACTAAAAGCTTATTTTCAGCCGGGCTAATGTTTCCTTGCAGTCTTAGATGCAACTAGATATCAATGCGTTCATTTGAGCAAAAGGCATTAAACCATTCGTAATTCTCAAGCCAGCTCTGAACGTATTTGCCCAGGACGTAGAGTTCAATGGGCACAAGCGCAGAATTTGCACCCTCTGTCAATCCCTGGTGGGCAGCAGTGATCTTGATATCAATTAAAATTGTTGCATGTAGCATATAGAGTACGCCACAAGCCAATGAGGCAATCGATTGGGAGAGCAAATAAAAAGCGAATGGATGAACGGGCTTATCCTTCTCGTAGACACCCTCCACGGGCTCCTTGCCAGTATACATCAAGTGAGCGTCGCGTTCCGCATCCCACATGCTTAATATGGATATCATTGTAAATCCAAGGGAAGCTAAGCAAGATTTTAAGATTTCCATGCAAAATGTCGGATTGTGGCCCGAACAAATGTTAATGCTTTGAAAGAGTGTGATCACCATGAAAACGTAGAAAGTCATTAGATAAACATAATGAAAGATTTGCCTATCCCACGTCAGCATATGCATATCAACAGCCATAAATCCCGTTATGTGATATGCCAAACAAAACATATTGAAGATCGTCTCCAGCGTGTAAAATAGAAACGAAATCGGCCGTAATGTAGTTGACGTTACGAGATTATTCCGATCTGTGACAATGGTTCCGACCCTGACCATGTCTCTTGTAAAACGGATGATTTAGGAATAATTTCTGGCTTACACACAAAATTACAATTTATTTTGTTGTTTCAGACGTGACAAATGTTTGAATAAGTCAACTGTCATTCATCAGACAGTTCGAGTACTACAAGTGACTATGGTCAAAAAAAACCTTCCCCTTTCCCTTCAATACTTAAACAGGTAGCATCTGGACTGTTTTACAAAAAAGTTTAAAGCATATTCACAAAGCCTTTTAATAAAATCATTCATGGTTAAAGGAGATAACAGATTGTCACATTCCTCTCCAGAGGTTGCCCACTTGGTGTGCCAGTAGGCTTTAATGTGAAATTAATTTAATAAAATTATCAAAGATTTATTGAAAAACAGCAAATCAAAAGTTGCAAATCGTAGAACGAGTTGGTATTATTCGGGACACGGGAATAGACGAAATATTTCTTACAGTTTAGATATATTATCTAGCTTTGCTCGGGCTAAGTTTTTCTCTCAGAATTAATTCACCTATCTTCCGCGGTGAAGACATACCTTTTCTACATTTAAGCACAAATGTCAACTGAGTTTGACAACGATCGGATAGCATGCTAATCAGTCAATTAGTAAGGACAAAAAGTTGTATATACAAAGATCTGACATATTATATTGGCTGTGTATTGCGTATCGTACTTTAAAAGCTTATTTTTAGCCGGGCTAATGTTTCCTTGCAGACTAGGGTGCAACTAGATATTAATGAGTTCATTTGAGCAAAAGGCATTAAACCATTCGTATTTCTCAAGCCTGCTTTGAACGTATTCGCCCAGGACGTAGATATCAATGGGCACAAACACAGAATTTGCGCCCTCTGTCAATTCCTGGTGGGCAGCAGTGATCTTGATATCAAGTAAAATTGTTGCATGTAGCATATAGAGTACGCCACAAGCCAATGAGGCAACCGATTGGGAGAGCAAATAAAAAGCGAACGGATGAACGGGCTTATCCTTCTCGTAGACACCCTCCACGGGCTCCTTGCCAGTATACATCAAGTGAAAGTCGCGTTCCGCATCCCACATAGTTAATATGGATATCATTGTAAATCCAACGGAAGCTAAGCAAGATTTACAGATTTCCATGCAAAATGTCGGATTGTGGCCCGAACAAATGTTAATGCTTTGAAAGAGTGTGATCACCATGAAAACGTAGAAGGTCATTAGATATATATACTGGAAGATTTGCCTATCCCACGTCAGCATATGCATATGAACAGCCATAAATCCCGTTATGTGATATGCCAAACAAAATATATTGAAGATCGTCTCCAGCGTGTAAAATAGAAACGAAATCGGCCGCAATGTAGTTGACGATACGGGCATATTCCGATCTGTGAATGTGGCTCCGATCCTGACCATGTCTCTTGTAAAACGGATAATTTAGGAATAAAATCTGGTTAGAACAAAAAAATTACAATTTAATCTGTTGTTTTAGACAAATGTTTGAATAAGTCAACTGTTATTCATCAGACAGTTCGAGTACCACAAGCTTAAATTTAATTCCCGAACGAATGACCTGCCTGCATTACCAAGCAAAGTAGGATCATAAGAGGTGACCAAGTTCTTCAATAAATTACCTTTTTTTAGGGTATAGATGAGCTTATGAATCACTGAAGATTATATTTATACTTTTGAATAGGGTATTATAATTTTGTCATGCAATGTGTAACGCACAAAAGGCGACATCTCCGACCCGCAGCACAGCATTAACAGCCAAGTTGCCGCAATAGTCATTTCCGTCTGTCTGTCTGTCCGTCTTTGCGAACAATTTCTCAGTTTTAATGCTACCGATTTGAAGCTATGCAACAGTTCGTATTTCTGTTACAGGCAACATATGTGTTAGAACTGGCCATATCTGGCCACAGTAGCATATATCTGCCTTAAAGGCTATCAGCCGAAAAACAGGATCTTGTATACTTGTCTAGACCTGTTTTGTTGATTTAGACCAAACTATGCTGCTCATATCTGCCAAATCTTTTCAATACCGCACTACTATATCATATAGCTCTATACGAAGAAGCGTCGTTTTTGTATGTCAAATATTCTGTTTTACAAATTGTTTACACCAAACTCAGCATTTACGAGCTTCACTATTCATATACAAGGGCATTAAATGTTCGGCGTGCCGAAGATTTCCGTTCGTTCCGTTTTATTTTGTTTTGTTTTGGACACGTGCTAGCTCATTGTTATGGTTAAGCTGCATAAGCAAAATATTCTGCGTCTTATACACAACGTAAATGACGAGGCAGCGCACTGTGGAATTTAACTTTTTCATGGAAAAAGTTACCGGTGTAAGATTTCGTAGCTATGGCAAAGTATGGCTTCATTTTGATTTGTAAGTAATTCCATTATTAATGTATTCAATTACCAGATATTTCAAGTACCAGGCTCCCGTTTATTACAATATTTGTAAATTTTTTTTTTATAAAACAAAAAAAAATTGCTTAATTTTTTTTACAATTTTACATTCTGACACACAATTAAATCACATCATATTTTAAACGAGTTATTGGCTACGTCTTCCACTGTGCGTGGCTGACTTCTTGCTGGCTTTAATTAACTGTTGGGCTTCACTATCGAAGCATCGAGTAACGTCGAATCGCTTATCAATTGGGGAAACGAATAATAACAACAAGCGGCAGCACGATGTACTACTGTTTGGTAAACGTTCGGTAAATGCCGATCTACGAGTATTTTTAAGTATTTATCTCGCGTGAACGTCAACTTCTCGGCAAATGTGCGAAAAAGTTGACAGTTGGATCTGGCACGTAGGCACCTCTAGATGGCCAAAGAAATGCACTCGCCGGCATGGACGATCCGATTTCTATACGCCCTTCTGGTCTTGGGCATGGCCAGTGGCCAAGAAGCGGATGGCGAACAGAGTCATTCCACCTCGGTTGCGGGAATGGTGCAACTGTTGCAGCTGGAGGAGGAGCTCATTGAGAATCTCAGCAACTATGCGAATGAACTCGAAGGGAAGCTCAATATAGTGCGCAGGTTGATTATCAAAGAATGATGTATATATGAATATGAGATACTATAACGTGCAGTTTTCCCCCAGTTTTGTTGAAGAAATGCGGGCTGAGAGCAACAAGGCCATGAGCCACACGGAAAATTATGTGTCCAATCCGCTGAATGCATTTTCCCTTATACGACGCATGCACGAGGACTGGACACACTGGCAGCTGTACATGGAGCAGCCAGTGGGCAAACAGCAGATGGACTACATTAATCTGAAACGGGAACAGCTGCCTAGCAGCACAGATCTCGAAGAGGCAGCAGCTGCCATACATCGCATACAGGCCACCTACGACTTGAAGATCTCCGACATGGCCGCGGGTCTGCTCAATGGCAAACAGTACAAGTTCGTAGAATAAATGAATTAAAACTTCGGCACGCCGAAGATTAAATAGCCTTGTAGAAGAGTGGTTTATAACTGCTTTTCTACAAAATTTTTATATCCCACCAGTTCTATCTATAGAAGCCGATTGATACGGCTTTGCCTATATGTTTGGAAAACATATAGTGGTCCGATCCGTTTAATTTCGATATGTGGACATAGCTAGTTTCCGACTCGTTACACTCTAAACTCTTTAATTAATTGGTTTCTGTTCATTGCAATTGCTTAGTGCCAGCTTGAACGAGCTGGACACCTATGCCTTGGGCAAGTACTACTTTGATCAGCAGAGTTTTGGCGACGCCAGCCAGTGGATCTACCATGCCAGCAACCGGCTAAATGGTCCGCATAAGCTGTCTTTGCCCCTGGGCTTGGATCCGGCTGAGGTACAGCATGTTTATGCCGAGGCACTTATCAAAATGAGTGAGTGCCAGATAACAGTTGGTAAATTTTATTTAAAGTTTCATTAATTTTGTGACATTTTTAGATAGATATGCCGATGCTCTAAAGGTTCTCCAGATTGCTACGACAATTGACAAAAATAATTTAAGACTCTTGCAACGAAAAATGGAAGTCGAAACTCTGATAAGAACTTCGTCTAATATTTCACCCAAGCCAGTAGGTGCACTCTGCGAAATTAGAAACAATTGTTAACGACTTTCGACGTCTTTTTGCAGTACAACAATAAGCCCGTCGGCAACTATGAACGTGGCTGCCGTGGCCAATTCCCCACGAAGTCCAAGCTACAGTGCGTCTATAATAGCACCAATTCGCCCTTTCTGCGGCTGGCCCCGTTGAAAACGGAATTGCTTGCACTGGACCCCTACATGGTACTCTATCACGATGTGATAACACCCAGCGAGATTCGCGAACTGCAATACCTGGCCGTGCCCACTCTGAAACGTGCCACGGTCTTCAATCAGAAGATTGGTCGTAATACTGTCGTCAAGACGCGTACCTCGAAGGTGACCTGGCTGACAGATTCTTTAAATCCACTGACGGCTCGTCTAAATAGACGCATTTCGGATATGACGGGATTTGATTTGTATGGCTCGGAAATGTTGCAGGTGATGAATTACGGCCTTGGCGGACATTACGACTTGCACTTTGATTATTTCAATGCGACCATTGTGAGTGAAAGATACGTAAATAATCACTAGATTAATTAATTTGAGTCTATCTTCATATTTTTCTAGGCCAAGGATTTGACAAAACTCAATGGCGATCGCATTGCAACCGTCCTTTTCTATGTGAGTAGCCACAAAGTTTGTTTCCTAGCTAAATTAGAAAACGATTAATGCCCTTCTTTAGCTAACCGATGTGGAACAGGGTGGCGCCACGGTGTTTCCTAATATAAAACAAGCTATTTTTCCCAAAAAAGGAGCAGCTGTTATGTGGTACAATCTAAGGCATAACAATGACGGGGATCCACAAACATTGCACGCCGCCTGCCCTGTTATTGTTGGTTCCAAGTGGGGTAACTATTTTATAAAATATTCATTAAATTATATACAAAATATTTATATAAACTCAACTTCACAGTATGTAACAAATGGATACGCGAGCACCAGCAACTATTTAGAAGACCATGTCTCACAAGTCCCTAGCCTTAACTATCGCCATTTATTTTTTTCGGACAGTTAAGTCTTTTACATTTATGCCTCTCAAATGTAATCTATATAGTACTACTTGAAGTAAGTAATCTGTTTTGCATGTATAAGGCACTGACAGAAAACATGCTAACAAAACTTAACAATAAATAAAACAATGCTCAATGCTCAAAATAGAAAATTTATAAGATTTAAATCCAATGAATTCACTCGTTATACAAAAATGTTTAAGCATTACAAACATTAAGCGTTACAAACAGAAAAAGTGATAAGGCCTTATCAGAACTATGCTTCTTTTTCAATCCGCGATTTCTTAGCCAGAAACAGCAACAATATATTAAAATTTCCTAGTTAATAACTGATATCAACAAGCTTAACATATATGACCCAACGCTTTTTAACAGCAATAAATTGAATTTTTTTTGCGTGATAAGTAAGCTACATACAAACAAACGCAACGGAGTAGAAGTTGATTCACCTTCAGTAGTTTTGAATCACAGTCAGCAGAAAAATCTTTTATTAAACCAACAGTAATTTAAAAAGGGGCTGACTTTAAACTATAACTATAATAAATAGGAACAAAGCAAAGTTGGCCGTGAATTTTGAGAAACGTTAGTTGACGCATTTGTCAATGCATAACTACCTGCTATTGCTAAAAAAAATATGTTGTAAGTCTTCGCAGTTCGTACACTAAAATGCGGTCATCTGTATGGACATTTCTATATATTGCAATTGCTCTAACCCAGTGCCCGATTAGGGCCAAGGCCGCAATGGAGCAGAGCCACAGCACTTCCGTCGCGGGTATGGTGAAGTTGGTGCTGCTGGAGGCCAAGCTCATTGAGAATCTCAGCAGCTATGCGGATGAGCTCGAGAGGAGATTGAATATATTGAAAAGGTAAGTCAACACATAGGACATAGTAGATCAGAGTTACAGTTTAACGTGTATTCAGGGCCGTTCCACAATTGCAAGCCGAAAGCAATAAGGCCATAGGTCAAATGGAGCAATATGTGTCGAATCCAATAAACGGATTTTCGCTAATACGCCGAATGAATCAAGATTGGAACGATTGGATGTTATTTATGGAGGATCCAGTGGGCTCATCGCAAGTGGCTTACGTTAGTAGCCAGAAATCACAGCTACCAACCAATGTCGATCTGATTGAGGCTTGTATAGCTATTTACCGACTACAAAGGTTCTACAACTTAACGGTGAAGGACGTGTCCACAGGCATGTTAAACGGAAAGAAGTACGAGTAAGTAATATCTACAGGCCAATGTCAATAGCCTAATACCGGCAAACCACCACCTGCAGCGTTAGTCTTAATGCTCTGGACACCTACGTGTTGGGCCGAGAGCACCACAAGCACCACACTGTAGACTTGGCCGGCGAGTGGTTCGCCGAAACGAACAGCTGGTTAATGGAGCACACACTCTCAAGCCCAATTGGAGCCGACCGTGAGAAAATGCTGCACTTCTTTGCCAGCGCGTTTTTTGATTATAGTGAGTGCAGGAGTATATAATGCTGTTGCACAAACAATTAACTTTAGTTTCTATTAACTAGAATATTACTCGATTGCACTGTCACTGTTTGATCACGCTCTGGTATTAGGAAAGAAAACAGGAGATTCCACACTACTGAATAGACGACGTGTTATAGAGAAGCTAGCCCGAGAAGAGATTTTGGTTAAGAAGGAACCCAAAGCAGATGCAACCAATTACGGCAGGGGTTGCCGTGGTGAATTCGTAGGCATATCCAATTTGTATTGTGTGTACAAATTCGGGACTTCACCATTTCTCCTCTTGGCACCGATCAAAATGGAAATTCGGCTGCTTAATCCCTTTATAATAGTCTTTCATGATGTGTTGTCGCCCCGAGAAATCGATGAGCTCCAGAAACTCGCCAGACCATTGTTAGAGCGTACAACCGTGGTAAAGTTTAAAAAGTATGAAAAGGACAGCAGGCGGACCTCTAAGGGCACTTGGATTGAACGCGACCATAACAATCTGACAAAGCGCATTGAAAGACGTATTACGGATATGGTCGAATTGGACTTGCGATATTCGGAACCGTTCCAAGTTATGAACTACGGCTTAGGTGGACACTATGCGGCACATGAAGATTTCCTTGGTGACACCTGGGTGAGCTTGTGCAAATTATTAACTAGTGTAATCCTGACCATTAGATTCCGTTTTCAGGCAGATAAAAAAGAATACGACGATCGCATCGCCACTGTTCTGTTTTACGTAGGTGGATGAGCTCTTTGAGATTTTAAATCTATGCTATTCTCTATTACAATCCACAGCTAACTGATGTAGAGCAAGGAGGCGCCACAGTGTTCACCATACTTAAACAGGCTGTCAGCCCTAAGCGCGGAACGGTCCTTTTCTGGTACAATTTGCATCGTAATGGAACAGGCGATACGAGAACCCTGCATGGCGGTTGTCCAGTTTTAGTGGGCTCCAAATGGAGTAATATACCAGCTTACACTTTGATATTTTATTTATTACTTATAGTCAAATACCCACAGTAATGACCCTATGGATACGTGAGCGCATGCAACTGTTTACCAGGCCTTGTCTAAAAGCTGAATAGCCAAGGCACTTAGTGCTCCAAATTGATTTGTAAAATTGTTCGGAACGCACAAACATTTTTTATCCGAGTTTTCAGGCACCATGCAATCGGTTCTCATATCGTTTTTGTACAACAGAGACTCATAACGTTGGATTTAACTTACATTGAATCTCGGTTCATATGACACTTTCATAGCATTGACACAGTTAAAAATATATACAATTAATAAAAATGTTTATGGTCAGTAGCCCCGGGTAAAATAAACACATTTTATTTTATTTAGAGAAACATCTGTTGGAAGATGGAAAGTTTTATTATGCGGAAATTAACTAAAAATGTTTTATGACAGCTTTATTCTCGAATTGATTACAAGTATAAATAGCTTGTAAGTGGTGAATAAATTTTAGTCTCTTCAAAATAATGAAGCAAAAAAGTATCAATCGGTAAAAGACTAAAACTATTTTATTGTGTGAGGCGTACCCAACCATCGGCTCGCCTTTTCAAAGATACTAAGATATATTATACTGTTATCTGTTTAAGGCAATTACTAAAAACCCTTTTTAGGACAATAAAAAGAGCCCAGCTTATGCGGTATTTATGGACATTACTATATATAGGGATTGCTCTAATCCTATGCCCGATTAGGGCCAAGGCCGCAATGGAGCAGAGCCACAGCACTTCCGTCGCGGGTATGGTGAAGTTGGTGCTGCTAGAGGCCAAGCTCATTGAGAATCTCAGCAGCTATGCGGATGAGCTCGAGAAGAAACTGAATATATTGAAAAGGTAAGTCTTTGATTTGCAATTCGTTTATGAGTATGAGATACAGCCTTGCATGTCTTCAGGGTCGTTCCACTATTGCAAGAGAAAAGCAATAAGGCGATGAGTCAAATGGAGCAATATGTGTCGAATCCCATAAACGCATTTTCACTAATACGTCGGTTGCATAAGGATTGGAATAAATGGAAGTTATTCATGGAGGAACCACTGGGCTCATCGCAGGTGGCATATGTAAATGAACACAAAGCCCAGCTGCCGAGCCCAACTGATATGGATGAGACATGCCAAGGGTTGCACCGGCTATATGATGTGTACAACCTGACGGTGAAGGACATCGTCAGGGGGCTGATTAACGGGAAGCAGTACAAGTAAGTGATATACGAACTAACTGACAACAACAGTAACTAGTTAGCTGCCAACTCTAGCGCCAGTCTAGGAGCCTTGGATACCTACGCGATGGGCAAGTACCTGGACCACTATCGAATTCGAGATTTGGCCAGCGAATGGTTTGCGGAGACAAGCAAGTCGCTAATGCAGCACACACTCCCAATACCAATGGGAGGCGAACGTCAACAAGTGCTGCAACTCTTTGCGAGGGCATTTATCAAACAGAGTAAGCCCAAGAAATACCTAATAAAGCCATACCGATAACTGTTTTCCTTGCAAAGAGCATTACACAATCGCGCTGCCCCTCTTGGACCACGCTCTGATAAAGGGCAACAAAACAAACAATTCAGATCTGTTAAGTGAGAGGGCTCAAATCGAGGAATTGGCCCGAGCGGCGCCCAAATTAAGGCCAAGCATTAGATATACGACTGATTACGCTAGAGGATGCCGCAGTCAATACGTGCAACAAACCAACTTGATTTGCAAGTACAAGTTCAGGCCTTCGCCGTTTCTCCGTCTAGCGCCGCTCAAAATGGAGGTTCTGGTCGTTAAACCATTTATAGTGGCCTTTCACGACGTGCTGTCACCACATGAAATAGGCGAACTGCAACAGCTCGCAATGCCGCTTTTAAAGCGCACAACCGTATATGATTCAAATTCTGGGCTTCATGGATCTGTCAAAGGCACACGGACCTCAAAGGGTTTTTGGCTTTCGCGCAGCCATAATAACCTAACAAAGCGGATTGCTAGACGTATTTCGGATATGACTGGATTTCATTTAGAAGGCTCAACCTCACTACAAGTCATGAACTACGGCTTGAGTGGGCACTACGCACTGCATACCGATTACTTCAATACCACAGAGGTGAGTTGCTTTATATTCCTGAATGTAGCTATAATGCCGTATAATTTGTATTCCCTTTCAGCTTATTGCACCAGAGAGTCCGACGGGTGATCGCATTGCTACGGTTCTGTTCTATGTATGTGAAATGCAATGTTGCCTTTCCGGCCAACACTACATGAAAATCTGAATATTAATTGACAGCTAAGTGATGTAGAACAAGGTGGTGACACTGTATTCCCTCGCATTGAACAGGTCTTCAAACCAGAGCGCGGAAAGGCTCTTTTCTGGTACAATTTACATCGCAATGGAACAGGCGATAAGAGAACCCAGCATGGAGCCTGTCCAGTGCTAGTGGGTTCCAAGTGGAGTAATATTTCACAATTCTTTTTATTTGTTTTTTTTCTTACTATTAATGCACAATTCCTTAACAGTAATGACCCAATGGATAAACGAACGCCCGCAGCTCTTTGCTCGACCTTGTCTCCGGGAGAGCACCAAATGAATTTGCCTGATGTTCTAAAATAACTTTTCATCATTTCAAACTTTTAAACTGCCAATAAACATGTAATTTAGTGCGAATTTTTAGCCTGCTCGAACTGCTGCTTATGTCACTCCAAATGCGGAAACATGGACACAAACTCCTTTAGCCATCCGACACGTATGCAGACTCATAGACAAACAAATTTCCGGCGTAATCACTTTACACACTTAACAAAAACCCGCTACCAGCCCATCTACCCGACATCATCGGTGGCTTAAATGCTTTTCAAAATGCCAACACGGAAAAAAATAAAGTGCTGAGTGGTTGATAGTCGCTCGGTAGATCGCTAGCTTACTTGCTTTCGGGCATTTGGGTTATTTGGGGCTAGGTAAAACCCAAGCAACCGCAGTCGCAGCCGCAGCAACATTTTAGCATACTCCTAGGCGCCGACCTCCCACCACAGCACACCCCCACCGGCGGTCCAGCTGGCGTCTAGTGTCTGACACCGCGTACGTGATGTGCAACTTAATGTTTCAATTAGAGGTGAAGTGGCGCAACGTGGTGGCTGCCGCCTGCTGCTTAGGTTATCGTTATCGTTCCCAGTTAACCAGTGTGTATGTGCGTGTAGGTGTAGGTGTGTGTATCAGTGTCAGCATCTCTATCAGTCTGTGCACTTATCTGCTTTTAAAAGTTTTAATAATGAACTGGCGCTTACCACCGAGAAACGTGTGCGTGTTCACCCTGTCAGCGATTAAATCCAGCTCCCAGTTCCAGCCTCATCCTTAGTCGCCTGCTGACTGGGCGCTTTTTTGATAATTTGTTTACAATCCACTCGGCGCACCTTTTGTGCGGGGGCACTATTTGCATTGAGCATGGAACCGTGCATGGGGAAAGGGTATTTGGCTAGCCGAAAGGTTCGCCTTGTGCTGTGCAGTGCAGCGTGCATAATGCGTAGATTTAATTGAATTTCGCAAACGAAACTGTGAAACTCAAATAAAACTTTAGCTTGACCACAAATGAGAAAATTTTTGAGCTTGCGAAAAGTTTTTGCCAGTACGCAAAATGAAATGCAACTCTGCTCAAAAGATTTCTTATTAAAGTTTTGCAAAAGGCGCAACTCAAATGGCCTACGGCTATAGTCCTTGTCCCACAAACCCTTCTACTCCTGACCATTCGTGCGCAACCAAACACCTTTCAATAAAGCGACCTCATCGATAAATAAAAAATTGCCAACATATGCGAAACGCCGTGCGACAACCAACTAATTTTATCGGCATAGCAGACCTTTCCATGCGCTACAATTGAAAACTATTTGGAATACTCTACAAATTTTATATGAAAAAAATACCAGTTAAATTCCACTATCAACTATGGAAAATTGGCGGAAAACAGTTTTAACTAACTAACTATTATTTTGCTTACCATCGGATTTATTATTATTTTCAAAGATCTTTGGAAGAACTCATTGAACATATTTATCACACATCGCACAAAATCCACATATCTGGGTGAAATATGGGTTTTAATTTTGTATATCAACATTTTTTTACTAATAAAAATTAGGGCGTTGTTACAGGAAATAGGATTTGAGTAGTAAATTGGCCAGAGTACAATTTGTTTTACATTTTAAGAAAGCCTGGCTACCAATCAGCGCCACAGGTAACTCATTGCGTAGTCGGCGCTGCCCAGTCAAGTGTAGATGAAAACGTACCTAAAACGTATTTCATTTTGATTGTGTGCACTTTATGATGCGTCCTGTGCGCTCACAGCACCACAGAGATGATTACATATGCGCAGACCAATAATTTTGGCCAGCACACAAAAAAAAAGTAGGAAATAAATGGAATAAAAATCAAACAAGGTTAAGAAATGTTGGCTGTAAGGCAACGTTGATTGTGGAAATCTAACAAAATGTTTTATGCGCAGGCTAAAAAGGGTTGCCTGAGACGCACTCACACATTTTGTGGTCAATGAAGGAAATATGATTTGGATTTTGTTACTTTGATTACACACATTACATGCGAAATATGAAAAACGTAGCAGCCAAGACGGCAGACGCTCCCAGACGGACCCAGCGAGGTCAACGCGGTGGTGCCCAAAGTGGGTGTCGTGCCACAACGTGTGCAAAGTTTCAGCTGGAAATGTGTGCTGCAGTGGGTTTGGGTATGCTATGGGAGCTGAGGGGTGAGCTGGCAGCAGGGATAGCCAACGCGCGGCCGTAAAGCATTTGATGTGCCTGTGTCCGTCGCAGGAAATTGAGTTTTTCGTACAGCTGTAAAGCCGTATCTGTGTGTGTGTGTGCGTGTGTGTGTATAATGTAAATAATAGCCAGCAAAAAGCACCAGAAATTTATGCACGCACTCAAGCGCGCAAATTCGCTTGGTGCGTCGTCTTCGGTTCTTGGTCTTCGCAGCAGCATCACATTCTCAGGGTCAGTCAGAGTAAATATATATTATATAGAGAGTATTACGATTTTGTGGTCAAAAGTGACGCACATTTGAGAAGGCATACAATATAAATAATATATATGCTATGAATATTTATAGATTGAATATATATCTGAATAGATTGTATAACCGACAGTTTGATATAAAACAAGGGGTTCTAGTCGGGAGCTCCCGACTAGGGGATACCCTGAATCCTCTTCTTCCAACATCAAATGCATATATATATTCTATTTTAGAAGCTATATGTCAAGTTTGGTGACTCTAGTTCTTATTATTTACCAAAATTGCCCAAATAACAGGATATCGATATCGATTTTTATCGATTGCTTGGAAACGGAGTAAGTTATCGATTATCGGAAACAAACTCGATCTGCGCGGGAGCTAGGAGCATCTACATCTAAAATTTCAAGTCTCTAGCTCTTATAGGTTCTGAGATCCTTGCGTTCATACATATATACGGACGGACGGACGGACGGACGGACGGACGGACAGACAGACGGACATGGCTAGATCGAGTCAGCTATTTATGCTGATAAAGAATATATATACTTTATGGGGTCGCAGATGCTTCCCTCTGCCTGTTACATATATTTGGCTTTCGCACAAATACAATATACCCTTATACCCATTTTTAATGGGTACAGGGTATAAAAAGCCAAACTTCGTGAAAATCGGATGAGATTTGGCCGAGATGTGGGGGTAGTAAATTTTAACCCATGTCTATATACGAATCTTGGGGAAAGATTTGGACATGAATTTCGACTAAAAATCGATGTTCAGATTCGAATGCCCGATTAATCTAAAGGGAAAACCATAAAGAAAAAGCCAAACTTCGTGAAAATCGGATGAGATTTGGCCGAGATATGGGTGTGGTAATTTTTGACCGATGTCTATATACAAATCTTGAGGTAAGATTTGGACATGAATTTCGACCAAAAAATCGGTGTCGAGATTTGAATGCCACATTAATCTAGAGGGAAAACCATGAAGAAAATGCCAAACTTCGTGAAAATCGGATGAGATTTGACCGAGTTATGGGGGTGGTAATTTTTGACCCATGTCTATATACGAATCTTGAGGTAAGATTTGGACATGAATTTCGACCAAAAAATCGGTGTCGAGATTTGAATGCCAAATTAATCTAAAGGGAAAACCATAAAGAAAAAGCCAAACTTCGTGAAAATCGGATGAGATTTGGCCGAGATATGGGTGTGGTAATTTTTGACCGATGTCTATATACAAATCTTGAGGTAAGATTTGGACATGAATTTCGACCAAAAAATCGGTGTCGAGATTTGAATGCCACATTAATCTAGAGGGAAAACCATGAAGAAAATGCCAAACTTCGTGAAAATCGGATGAGATTTGACCGAGTTATGGGGGTGGTAATTTTTGACCCATGTCTATATACGAATCTTGAGGTAAGATTTGGACATGAATTTCCACCAAAAAATCGGTGTCGAGATTTGAATGCCACATTAATCTAGATGGAAAACCATGAAGAAAAAGCCAAACTTCGTGAAAATCGGATGAAAATCGGATAGAGGGAAAACCATGAAGAAAAAGCCAAACTTCGTGAAAATCGGATGAGATTTGACCGAGTTATGGGGGTGGTTAGTTTTGACCCATGTCTATATACGAATCTTGGGGTAAGATTTGGACATGAATTTCGACCAAAAAATCGGTGTCGAGATTTGAATGCCAGATTAATCTAAAGGGAAAACCATAAAGAAAAAGCCAAACTTCGTGAAAATCGGATGAGATTTGGCCGAGATATGGGTGTGGTAATTTTTGACCGATGTCTATATACAAATCTTGAGGTAAGATTTGGACATGAATTTCGACCAAAAAATCGGTGTCGAGATTTGAATGCCACATTAATCTAGAGGGAAAACCATGAAGAAAATGCCAAACTTCGTGAAAATCGGATGAGATTTGACCGAGTTATGGGGGTGGTAATTTTTGACCCATGTCTATATACGAATCTTGAGGTAAGATTTGGACATGAATTTCGACCAAAAAATCGGTGTCGAGATTTGAATGCCAAATTAATCTAAAGGGAAAACCATAAAGAAAAAGCCAAACTTCGTGAAAATCGGATGAGATTTGGCCGAGATATGGGTGTGGTAATTTTTGACCGATGTCTATATACAAATCTTGAGGTAAGATTTGGACATGAATTTCGACCAAAAAATCGGTGTCGAGATTTGAATGCCACATTAATCTAGAGGGAAAACCATGAAGAAAATGCCAAACTTCGTGAAAATCGGATGAGATTTGACCGAGTTATGGGGGTGGTAATTTTTGACCCATGTCTATATACGAATCTTGAGGTAAGATTTGGACATGAATTTCCACCAAAAAATCGGTGTCGAGATTTGAATGCCACATTAATCTAGATGGAAAACCATGAAGAAAAAGCCAAACTTCGTGAAAATCGGATGAAAATCGGATAGAGGGAAAACCATGAAGAAAAAGCCAAACTTCGTGAAAATCGGATGAGATTTGACCGAGTTATGGGGGTGGTTAGTTTTGACCCATGTCTATATACGTATCTTGGGGTAAGATTTGGACATGAATTTCGACCAAAAAATCGGTGTCGAGATTTGAATGCCAGATTAATCTAAAGGGAAAACCATAAAGAAAAAGCCAAACTTCGTGAAAATCGGATGAGATTTGGCCG